AGATATACATTTTGAGGACACTCTGAGTTGATTCAGCTGAGTGAAGCTCTCCTGCCTGAGTAGCCCATCTTGGTCTGCCAGCCAACCACCAGATATTGCTTGAAGAATCCTGCCAAACTGGTTTTCACTGTTTCTCATACTTGACATTCCATCCCCTCTTTCCATGACTTCCATTTGTTATCCCCCATGTAGAATTTACCATCTCCTCCTCTCTTATTTCATAAAATCCCTTTTATTCCTTCAATGGGCAACTCAAGTACAATCTTCAATATGAAACCTTTCTCAATCCCTTCACTTGCTAATGTCTTCTCTATCTTATACTTACCTTTTATTTTGTATATACTTATATATGTCCTAGTTGTTTCCTCCATTAGAATACAAGTTTCTTATATTTAGAGACTGTTTCATTCATTTTTTATCAATTTATTTGTGCCCCTAGCATAGTATGTGGCACATGCTTAATAAATACTTGATAGGTTGTATATCTATTTTATACTACTAGAACGCCTCTAATAATGTAGTCTAAGCTTTATTTGATTTAATGACCACCCACTATGTTCTTAAGATAATTCTCATAAAGGCATACTGCTGATTAAGGAAATAAGACGGTCTGGATGGATAAGCACAAGACTATTGCTGGCCAAACAATTTTTTAAATTGTCCTTACTAGTAGGGGCACCACTGTGGGGTATGGTTTAATTTCATCTTTCTATTTTGGTTTAGAAGTGGATAAAAATTAAAAGATTGTTAATGAAAATATTTACCTTAAACAATGTATCTCAAATATTGACATATTTATATTGTACTGTAACAATATTAACTTAGAAGGTAACACATACATCTGTCTTTCAATATTTGCTAAATACAGGAAATATTTCTTCTTAGAATTATATTAAGATACATAAATGGCTATTTCTAGTCCAGGTCACATGTTCAGTAAGATGGTAAATTAATCACTTTCTCCCCTATACCTTTCTAACCCTTTTTTTTTTTTAAAGTGTGATATGTCAGGTGTAATCATACTGGAACCGTAAGACAAATGAAAGACCTGACAAAGTAAGATCCTTACGAATTATCACTGGAAAACTAAGCCTTAAAGTAATCACTAAGGACTGAGTAGCACACTACACAGTAACTAACATAAGCTTTCTTGCAGGCTTGTGCTTGGGATCTACTGAAAGATCCTGTTGCACCACCACCCAGACCATCCTAGCACACCCTATGCTCTCCTCCTACCCTCACAAAAGTAGCGGCTATTCCCTTTGCTAAGCCACATGGAGAGAGGGGGAGGGGAAAACAAAAATGTGCTGTCTTCCAACTGGGGCTGGACCCTAGGTTAGGAACCCCCAAAGGCTGGGCTGCAGTCTGTCCCATCCTCCCACCACTCTGCAGAAAAGCACCAGACCCTACTGCAGTCCAATCATAAGGAGAGTTAAGGAAGCAAATGGGGCAAGGGGTGGAAGGAGGAAAAGGCAGCCTGTTTATCTATGCTAGTTCTGAAGAAGAAACTCAGCTATGGCTAGATCTGTACCATCAGAGTATATTTCAGGGCGGAGACGTAGGCTGAAGAACCTCACGTTTTCTACCACCAGTAGGCTGAGGCTGCATACTCACCAGGAAAGGAAGAAGAGTAAGAAAATTGATGGAGGAACTTTTTTAAAGGCTAACAAATTATCTCAATTGAAAAACTCTCTATAGAGGTCCAGTGCATAATCAGATAAATCAGCAGATGGGAGTCTTAAACTAGAAGAAAAAAAATGTATGAGAAATAACTCCTCAAGGAAAATACAAAGCTCTCAACTATTAAGAGAGAGGAAAATGAATTAATGCCTGATGAAATACAGAATGCTGGACTCTTAAGATAGCATAAAAACACAAAAAAACTCCAGGATAATTTCAGAAATTAAATTCATAAAAAGAAGGAATGAGGAATTATTATAGGTCAGAACTCAGAGCTCTTAACGCAGAATTTAAAAAATAAATAAAAAACCTTCAAAAATAAAAGACATAATTAATACTCAAAGGGATTGTTTCAGAAAAATTTGGGAAAATGTGAACTGATTCAGAGTGAAGTGAAAACCAGAACAATTCAAAGAAAAACAACTCTGAAAGACTTTAAAAACATTGATCAACGTTAATAACCAACAATGAGAACGAAGCACCAGTTGACAGAGAGGTAGACTCAAGATGCAGAATGAGACATACATTTTTGGGATAGCCAAGGTGGGAATTTGTTTTCTTTGACTATGCATTTGTTACAAGGGTTTTTTCCCGTCTAAAGCTCCGAATTCAGTAAACATATAATTAGCACTTCCACAGAATAAGACAGGAGAGGTTTGTACATGAAACTGCATCTCTATTGTATAGGTCTTGCGCTATATATATATATATATATATATATATATATATTATATATATATATTTAATAAATTCACTTTTTAACTTTCAAAACTGTCCTGCTCATCTGCGATTCCTTCTGGCCTTTCTTTTGTCCTCTTCTCCTTTTGAAGGGGAAGAGGATCACATCCCCTACCCCTACTCTCTCTCACCTTGTAAAGACACAAGACCTGTTCTGCACTGACTATGCCAATTATAGGGTGGCAGACCCTATGAAAGAACAGATACTGAACCTGAGTTCAAATTTGGCCTCAGACCAAACACTTGACACTTACTAGCTGTGTGACCCTGGGCAAGTCACTTAACCCCAACTGCCTTAAAAAAAAAAAGATACTGAAGCAGGGCAGTCTATGATAGTGTGGGTTATATGTATAGCTCTATTAGAAATTTTTAGGTGAATTGGGGGAGTTTATTAATGAGGCCAGTCCTAGGAGGCAACAAGACAAAATGGTGGATTCCCAACACCAAGCCTCAGGCCAGGCCAGGTTATTATACAGAAACAGAACAAAGAAGGCAGAGTGCCAAGGGTGATCTGTGGCCACATGCAAGTTTTTTTCCATGGGATGGCTAGAGCTTCTTTTGCTGTCTACATTCATTCAAGATAGTTTACATTAATTGCGGAATCATGGGTCACGCTCTCACACTCTGGCTCCCAACACACACATCCAAGGCAATTTTTTTAAAAGGGCAATTTGAAGAAGATAAATCGTAGGAGGGAATGGAATTAGTATATTCTTGAAAGCAAAGGAGTTAAAGTGCAACAGAAAATATACCCTAATAAACGAGCTGAAAAGAGTACTTGAGACGTTCCTGCAAAGGGGAAAAATGTGTGTGTGTATGTACATACACACACATATATATACATATACACACACACATACATATATATATGTATATATGACTAGAATAGTAGATTTGCAAACAAAAACAGTGGGAGGAGGAATTCAAAAGGGAAATAAAGTGCAATTACCAAGGTGGGGGAAAATGCTGTTTAGAATTTATTTTTTTAAATAAGACTTTGCTATTCAGGCATTTCAGTCATATACGACTCTGTGACTTCTATTCATGGAGTTTTCTTGGCAAAGACACTGGAGTGGTTTGCCATTTCCTTCTCCAGTGGCAAAATGAGGTAAAAAGTGACCTGCCCAAGGTCACACAGCTAGGAAGTTTCTGAGGCTACATTTGAACTCTGGTCTTCTGATGCCAATCTCAACACTCTACCCACTTACAGGGTGTTAACAGAGGAGAGGCACTGGAGCAGTTTCTTGCTTCCAGTAACATCTTAGCTGAGATGGAATTTGCTTGGAAAGATCATTGGAAAGGCAGAGAACAAAATTAGACTGCATAATTTGAGACCAACTAATTTCTACATGGGGCTGCCTCTACCGAACATTACTAAATTGATATTTCTAAAATGAGGTGTAGGGGCAGCTAGGTGGTACAGTGGATAGAGCACTGGCCCTGAAGTCAGGAGGACCTGGAGTTCAAATCCGGCCTCAGACCAAACACTTAACACTAGCTGTGTGACCCTGGGCAAATCACTTAACCCCAATTGCCTAAAAACAAAAAACAAAACAAACATAAAATGAGGTACAGCAGAAAAGAGTGATGATGGAGCAAGATCTACAAAGGTAATAATGAACTTAAGCCTGGAACACTTACTTCAGAAATGCAATCACATGGGGAATAGAAATGAAAGGAGTAAATAAGGGTATAGCCCACAAATCAGATAATAAAATTTCAGAATATACTAAAAGGGAAGAAATATTAATGAAGATAAAAAATTGTGGAAAAAAGCCAGAGGAAAAAGAGATTTTAAACTACCCATTCAACTAAAAGAGGGAAAGAGAAGGGACATAAGAGAAAATAACTAAATGAAAACAATAAATGAAGTTAAATCCCGAAACTAGGGAAAAGATAAGCAATCAGGAACAGGAATGGGAAGAGTCTATAGAGCAGCTGAATAAGCTTACGCAAAATTATTGCAGAAACAGTACTGACTTAAAAGAGACAGGAAATAATCATTTTAAAAACTTAAACAAATAGAGGACAAAGCAAGCTTAACTCATTAAAATTTAGGATATGGCAGATTTTTTAAAAAATCAAAATATTTCGTAAATTTTTCTAATCAATATACTTGTAGCATCACTTTTTATAACAAGAAGGAATTTAAATCAAAATTCATATCCCTCAATGGCAAAATTACTTGTGGCATATGAAATGATGAATAGAGAAACAAACATAGGAAAATATATGAAATTATACAAAGTGAGAACCAGGCACACTATACACAATTACAACAACGGAAATGGAAAGAATAATAACCAGAAAATAATAAAAAGCGAACGATGCAAAATGAGAATGACCACGCTTAGTCCCATAAAAGAGACATTAGAAGTCACCCCATTCAGCTTTTTTGCATCTAGGCTACTATGGACATGGAACATTGTATTATGTCAGATTTTTTGGATGCGTTTGGTTAGTTTTGCTGAACTGCCTTCCCCCCTATCCTCCTCATATTTATTCTTTGTTATAAAGCATGGCTTTCTGATACAGAGAAGGGAAAAAATATATTGAGAAAGGTAGCTGACATGTAAACAGAAGACACTGATAAAAATTTATTTAAAAAAAGACACACTGACACAGCACTTCTATGGAATTAAGTAAACCATCAATAACTAAGCACATAAATATTTACAATAGAAATATTAAGAATATTAACATATAAGCATAAAGTGACTATGGTACTTCCCATGTTTTTTTTTTCCAATACATAACACATGGGAAACAAATCAAAAGTACCTTTCAAGACTATTCAGTTTTATTGTCAGTGATAACATGCACAAGACTGTAATTTTACAGTTATTGTTTGTTTCATTTCCTTAAGTATCCTTTGAAAGATTATGAATATGCATTAAAAAAATAGATTTACATTTCAGAAATTTAACACATTCAGGAAGCCCTCTGTAAACATAGACCTCTTTCCACATTTTTTTCCTGCGTTTCCCATATAACTTAATTTATGACATCATAAATTTATAAACTGAATCTGGGCTGCTACATTAGAAGAAAAAAATTAAGACTGAATACACTAAATTGCTTTTCATTTTCAGCCCTAAGAGCTAGATAACAAAATTTTTTATTTAAAAGCAAACCAGGAGTTCATTTTCTATAGATGTTAGCAGTCTAAAAATATTAACATGCAGTTTTTATGTTCTTGGTGTTTCAAGTTATTACTCCCTGTCCTTCTTTATCCCTCCATCTCTGGACAATTATAGAAACTACAGAACAGATTTGGCTACTACTTATCCCTCCTATACACAAGAAATTTTCCAGTGAATTCTATATGTGTTTGAATGATAAAGTGATGAAAACAATTCTGCTTATGTTTTAAAAACAACAGTAGAGGAAGCAGAAGCCTTTTTAAAAAGCACATTAACATGCCATAAAAACAAATACTGATATAGAGAGAATCAGTAACACTAGTTCTTTATTTCTACACTCTGTCCTTTCTAAAAATCCCTCTCTACTGCACCATTCAGAAACAGAACTATGAGGATCAAATAATATCACAAAAGTGACTTTAAGAAGGCACAGTTTAACAATTCTTGATATTTGGCCTATTTTAGTCTTTGCATAATGACTTGAAATCTGTTTTCTTCTAAAAAAAATTAAATTTAAATGAATTTTTATGCAATGAATAAAGATTTAGTTGATAGTTTCTTATTCAGCAACCAAATTATCTTTACTTAATAATATTAAAGGGATTTTGCATGTTGGTCACATTAGTTAATCATAAGTACATTATTATCGAAGTCTTTGAATGATAACAGTATAAATCTTAAAAGGCAAAACATAACTAAAATACCTTATTAGCTTTAGATGATTCAAACAGCAACTAATAGCTGTTTCCAAAATTTTATTTTTAATAAAAAATGATCTAGTTCACATTATTCAATGTCAGCTAAATTGTGTTTAAAAAACTAAGTCTTTTAGTTACAATAGTAGAGACTATAAGAAATTAACATGCTCTTATACAAAACAAAATTGACACACACAATGGATTCAAATAAAAACTGACACACTCAAAAGATCTCTGAAATTCTGCCAACTTCCAGTCCAGTGAAAAGTAAAGCCATAAAGTTATTATACATAAATAATTAAAAGTTAGAGTTCATAATGGAAATGTCAACAAGATGTAACTACTACATCAGTGTTGATAGTTTCTACTATACTTTCAACTAGGCACAGCAAATGTGCAATATTTGACAGTGTCTACAAAATTAAAGCTTTCAAAACTATAAATAAACATAAATAACAGCATATCATTTGTAAACCATTAGGACTGTTAAAAAAAATTAAAGATGTGAACTAAACAGTTACCTGCTAATATCTCAATAAGCTACTTTCCACTATGCATAAAGCTATGGTTTGTTAATTTTACATTGTTGTAAAAAGTAATTTCATTCCAGTATGCAATCTTCAAATCTTTCAGATCTTCATGCTCATCTCATAAAGAGATCCCTCCATGAAGTCAGCTTGTCATATTTTCAGCAGCCTGAAAGAGAAATTAGATTCATTACAATGAAACCAGTAAGAGATAGTTTAAAGATAAAGATCTGGCAATTCAAAATAATCATTTCTTAAAACTGCATTTAATAGGATGTAATGTTCAATAATATATTTAAGTTATTAACTATATAAAAAGTTTGATTTACATCCTTGAATTCACCTTTAGTGATACACTTTTAATTCTACCTTCAACTGCTCCAAACAACAATGAAAGGGGTTCATCAGTAGAAGAAAAAGAAAGAACAATTTTATCTGCCACTTCTCCAACTGGATAGGGAAATAAAAAGGTAAAAGAGCAAGGATACTGGAGAAGAGTATTGGGTGATCTCTACACTAAAAAAGATGATGAAGGGGCTTAAGAAATACATCTCCACATTCAAGGTTATTAGGGACAAAACAGAAGCAAAGCTTTAATGTGGGAGTGTGGGGGAAAAAACAAAAACAAAACCATGTGAACTACAAAAGGGAAATGACTGATGCCAGTAAGTTAGAGACTAAAAAACATCAAATAAGGGAAAGGAAGATTAAATACTTAGACTAAAAAAAAAAACACAAAAAACAAATCAGAGGCTCTTTCTGAAGAAGCCAGATGCTCAAATTCACAGGTGTTTCTAGGTAAGACATCATGTAATAAGGGTCAAAGAAAAAAAAAATAGTAACGATGGTTGATGACTGCCTGCTTATGGGTATGAAGTTAGCTACTGGCTGGCCTGATAACAAATATAGGGAAGTTTGCTTACCCCTCCTCTCCTCTGACTCTTAAAATCTAGTTTCTTCAAAGAATTGCTCAAATACCACTTCTTATTTGAAGCCTTTCTTGATCTTAACTGATAGTGTTTCCTCTACTCTTATTATCTTATAGTTATTTTGTACATATTTATACATGTGCACACTTTTTTTTTTAGGCAATTGGGGTCAAGTGACTTGCCCAGGGTCACACAGCTAGTAAGTGTCAAGTGTTTGGTCTGAGGCTGAATTTGAACTCAGGTACTTCTGACTTCAGGGCCAGTGTTCTATCCACTGTGCCACCTAGTTGCCCCCATGTGTACACTCTTTCCCTTAATAAACTACACGTTGTTTTGTGGGCACAGGCAATTTTATTTTTCTCTCTCTTGCCAGTGCTTCATAGAGTGCCTGAATAGGTGCCCACTGATTGACTGGATCTTTGTCTTGATGGATCATATTATCAAAACAGAGAATCTTCCATTCCAAATATATTAGTACTATACAATTATAGTCATTCAAATGGTCACAAATGTTATTACCAGACAGAAGTTGGAAAGCACTACAAGAATCTTAGGCAAGAAAACTGAAGACCATTCAAAGGTTATACACTGAAGGAAAAGCATGCAAAAGAGAAAAAATTGATTTAGTAAAAAAAACGGTTAAGGTAATAACTGAGAATGAATGCTATCACAGGAGCAACATCTACCCCAAGCAGCCTAGGTTAATTTTCCCTTAAAAGGTGCTAAAATCATCACCAAAACTTAATTGGCTCAGGGGACTAATGCCTTTAACATAGCTTCCTAGCAACCTAATCACAAGAGCTACACCATGAAAAAGCAGGAGTAGCTATGATATAATCAGGTTTGACTGTTATACCAGCGTGGCCAAAGAAGTTGTGCTTTGCTGTGTCCATAAAGTATCTTTGCTGAGCGTCTTTCCATGCTATGGCTAAAATCTTTTGTTAACTGTTAAATGGGCTACAAGCAGGGGTGTATTAGAGCCAGCTTATATTGGGCTTGAGTGTTTAAAATTAAAAAATTCAATGTTCAAGTTTCAGTGGGAGCATTTATACCTCAGAAATTAGCAAACTCTACACATAAGGACTGATTTATTCTTTGGTTGATTGCCTAGGCCTAAGAAAGTAATAGAGAAAATGTTAATACCGCATTAAACTTAAAAATATATTGTATGCAGTTTCTTGTTTGTTTTTTAATTTGGGGAGAGCTGTTTGTTAAACATTTATTGGCACACCTCTGGCTTCAAGTATCTCATTTGATCCTAATTCCAAATACAAAGTACCAGACTAGTCTGAAACATACTAGCCCACCTCAAATAATATCAGGATTTCTGGCTCATGGCTCCTAATCAGGGAAGAAGTACCCTCAAAAAGAGATAGTAAGAATGTATCTGCTCAGTGTCTAATATTTAAGAAAAGGTTTAACTGAAAAGTAAGTGGGCAGGGGAAAACTGTCAATGCATATCTACCAAGCTAAATACCATATCAAGCAACAACAAAACAAGAGCAGTTGAAAGACTTAGTTCATGGAAGGGAAAAAAAATTCCAAAAAAAGTCAGTGTTAAAACTCAAATTCTTCTCCATAAATGCCTAACATTTTGGCAACAAGCAAGAGGAAAAAATGTTAATAATGCAAATTAAACTAAAAAGTGTGCTGTACACAGTTTGTTTTTTAATTTATGGAGAGATGTTTGTTAAACATTTACTGGCACACCTCTGGCCACAAATATCTCATTTGATTCTAATTCCAAACATGAAGCATCAGACTAGGCTGAATCATGCCAAGTTCACCTCAAATAACATTTGGATTTCCAATAAAGATTAAAGATAGTACAGTCCTAATAATGCAGGGAAACATCTTTGACCTAATACATCACTGGGATTTGGTAGAATGAAATGCACAACCTGGTAGAAACCTATTCTGTATGGAGATGTCATATTTAAAAGAAAAAAGTGGGTTAAAAAGAAGATGAGAAAGTGGAGTTAGCATTGTGTATGTAGGATGTATGGAGGAAATCTATGGGTGGGGAGTAAAATCAGGGAGAAGGGATGAGACCAGTTGAAGATCAACACAAAGAAAGGATTGTGCATGTGCATGTGTGTGCATGTACATGCATGTGTGTTTATTTCACAAGAGGCAGTATGATGTAGTGGACCGAACTCTGGACTAGCAGTCAGGAAGACTTGGGTTCAAGTCCCTCCTCTTACACATTCAGGCTGCTACTTAAGCTCTCAGTGCTGTGTATGAGCTAAGAATATAAGTTGCAGAAAAGGTGCTGACCTGCACTGATAGAAGTTTCCTCACCCAGAAGTTCCCTATGCTAGTGACATCACAGGTCCAATTCCTATCCCTATAGTCCTTTCATAACAAAAACTGAGCCAGTTTACAGGTGGGGGTCTGGACATGTTTTGTGCACAATACTCTTTCCATCCATTACTAAACTCCAATAAGTTTCACTTTTTTTTCTTGTACCAATGTAACAGCTAGGTTACACATATGGATGGCAAAGAAAGCAGAGCATGGAGTAAGAATCAAAAAGGGCTCTTCCTAGGTTACTCTGGAATGTGATGACATCCTTCTAGGTAGGCTGAAAGGAGTAGTAGGAACTAAAAATATTATTTATTAGTATTTTTATTATTAGTATCAGGCATGACTCAATTACATTTCTGTAAAGTACAGAGAAACCACTACTTATCTGTTCAAAAACCTTGTTAGATCTACTTAAATGGATTTTTAAAGTTATGTTTTGGAACAGGTAAGAATTTTGTTAACTAGAAAGTGGTTCTTTTGTTTTATTTTGTTTTGTTTACGAGTTACAATATAGGCAGGTTTTAAGACCAGTAACCAGGATCAAAAAAGGAGGAGAGACAAAGGGGAAAAAAGAAGTCTTCTCTTCAAATAGGAAGATGCAAAACCAATAAAGACTAAAGATAGTGTAGTATAATGGAAAGAATAATAAATTGGAATCAGGTCACCCAAATTGACAACTACATAATCTTGAACAAGTCTCTGAATCTTTCAATCAATAAACAAGTATTTATTAAACATATACTATGTGCCGGGCATTATGCTACATGCTAGGTATATAAAGGAAAAAAAAATGAAACACTGCCGCATCTCAATGAAGTTTATTGAAGCCTCTTGGGTCCATTTCTTGATCAAATGAAATGATACACCCAAAGTGCTTTGTAAAACTAAGTGCTATACAAATGTCATTATTAGAGACTGAAATATTTTCCCTCATCTATAATGTGAAGGTGAGGGAGCTTTTAGGTATATTTTGGCTCTAAATTTCTATGTATTTGATCCTAAAATGAAAACCAAATCGAAAAATGACAAATTATGAGGTTTCATGCTAGCAAACATTCCAATGAACTATAGAGATTTTATTCTCAATTTTTCCCTCTGGTTCTAAGGGAAAAGATGCCAAAATTCAAAGTGTGAGGACAGCAGCTTATTCACTTCTCAATACTACAGTCAGGATTCGTTCACTAGAAATCAAGTGATGGTGGGGATATGGGAAGGAAGGGCTTTAAAAGACCCAGGAGGGTTAAGAGATTCAGGTGAAATGGTTCTACTCAACTGTGGAAATAAAACCAGGTTTTTTGACCTTAGGCAAGCCAATTCAACTCTTTAGGATGAAGTTTTCTCATCTATAAAACAAGGCACTCGGTTCAGATGGCCTTCAAAAGTCCTTCCAATTCTGGTAATATATGAGTCTCTGAAAGATTTGAATACAGTCTTACAGGTGACTTGCTTGAGCTCTCCTCCAAACCCCCTCCAAATACTCATAAAAAATGGCTCTAAACAAATTCTGAAGCAGCAGAACCCACAAAAAGACAGAGAGAAACAAATTTCCAGCCCAAGACAACCTGGATGATGGATCAGAAAGGTGTACTGCGCTGGGCTGGGAGGGTAGCGTGGCATGGGCGTGCAGCTGTAGTCACAGGCCAGGAAAGGAGTAAACACCTTGCCCCTTATCATACCACCTTGGAAGAACTGAAAATTTACAGGTCCCTACAAGTATCTCTGAAAACAGCTTGTACAAACCCTCCGAAGCTTGGGACAGTACATTCTCCACATTGGAAGCAGATTCATACTTAACAAAGAGTTTAAAACTCAAGTAATTGGCTGGGATCATGAGCAAGCAGCGCAAAAAGAGTCACTTTGGTGAAAAAGAAGATCAAAATACACAACCAGAAGAAGGCAACAAAATCAAAGTTCCTACATCCAAAGCCTCCAA